ATCACCTCCACAGGGAATGCCTTACCTCCATCTCCTCCATGAAATCATAATTAATTATGGGAAGGCTAGTCTCCGAGCACAATGAGCCAAAGCCCTTTAAGGGGAGAAAGAAATCAGGGTAACCCAGAGTCCCAGCAGGCCCGATGATTTTCTGAAGTGCAGCAGTGTCACCTCCAGAGGCCTGTGCTGCAGCAAGATAGAAGTGTGTTTGGATTTATGTCACTTCCAGGCTTCAGTTTACACTTGTATTCCTTTTTATGCCTCTGCTCTCGACAGCTGTGGTCAAGGCATTATGTGTTCTGTTGGTCCATCCAACCGTCTGTTCCATTCTGGTGAATGTGATATCTCAGGGACGCCACTAGGGACTTAGTTCAAACTTGGCACAAACATTCACTTGAACTCAGGGATGAACTGATTCCTCTCAGACTGTACATCCTCACAGAGATGCTAGCATGTTTGCAGACTCTTGGGGCCCGTTCTTTCACCTGGTGCAAAGTAAAAGTAGATTTCAACTTGCTCTAAAAACACTTGCTGCCTGCTCTGAAGAACTAGAGCCCTTAGTATTTCTGCCATTTAATGATTCCGTCTTAACACTTAAAGCGGAACCCTAAAGACTTACAGATTACTACATCATTGTTTTTATTTGTTCTTCATTGATGTCCAGATTGATTTAGCAGTGAGTCTTAAAGCAAATTCATTCAACAGTTAAAACTGTATCAAAGCCCATTTCTGCCAATTTTGTTAAAAAATCCTTTAAGTCATTATAATGAGAAACTTTCTCAAAATAATGTCTTATGAATCCAGTATAATGACTCACTAACTCAAAATAATGACTTACTTATAATTTAGTTTTAGCATTCTTTCTAAGATGGGCATCCTTTTTAAAAATGTGAAAACAACCTCTGGTTTTGTGTTGTCACGGAACAAAACCTTTGACGGCCGCAGCATCTGACACAAACCCAATACCCACCAGCCTCTTATGTAATCAAATGGTTGTTGATGCCAATAATCAGCAGCGTTTTGAATTTAATGACATTAACAAGGCTTAGAGGAATGTCTCGCTGCCACAGTGCCAAAAAAGGATCCATCTTCAATAGTCCTTGCAGTAACTATATCTTTTGGAGACGTGCTACCTAAGGTGTTATTAAAAATAGAAGCTGTGTGATCTTTCTCTCAGCCTGAAATCCCTCAGTTCGTCTTGCTACCTGTCAAAAACTCCTCACAGACGGGTAGAAAAGCTCCAGACAACCCTCATTCTCAGAATCATCAGCTTTCACCGATTCACAAGCTGTTAATGCCGTCTTTCCGCAAATGTGATGGTACCCTGGAGTTAACTCGATAGCGTTCGAGTGAAAGCCTGTTATGGTTGGATGTCGATTCTCTCTGTGCTCTCTGTTCCTTCACAGAGGAATTTCAGGCCGGGCTCAGAGAGCCGTGCCAGTGTGCAGAGGGACTGTTCAAACATTTATACAAGCACTTTCCCTCAAATGTCTGTGAACTTGGAAGCAGCATCCTCAATCCTTCATTCAGCCTCTGAACTCTGCACCTGCTGCAGTTATTCTTTTGAATCTTTTTGCCTGGAGCTGCTTGGTATTTAATCACAGCATGGTGCGGCTCTGAGCGCCCACAAATATTGCTCCAAATTCTTTCACACTCATTAACTTGGCTTAAGCGAGGAATTTGGAGTTTGATTGACATTAAAGTCCGCGCTCTGAATGTCTGTCCATTGCACATCATCAGTTTTTATACTCCTAAATCAAATTAACACACTGCTAGACTACCGCAGTCTGTGTTATTCATAGGCCCGGCCCGTAATTTGCTGACTGCGTTGCTGCTTGCTCAGTGCTCACCATGTGGAGCAAAGGGGTTTTATCTGGGTCATCAGTGTGGTGGTGGCAGCTGTGCCTCAGCTTCTCCTTTTTGCCTGAGAAAACTGCAGACAATTTCATTTAAAGTTTTGAAGATTGTACCCCCTGCAAAGGAGATGGATTGTAAATGAAATTTGTGTTGGTCTTCTTTATAGTTTTAATATTTATGCTCTAATATACAGAGATCATTCAGCTGTCGGCATCTGTTTTTCATCATACTACATCAGATTATATTTCCACAAATACTTTTGAATATAATGCCCCTGCAGCTATACAGCGACTGCTTTGTGTAAGTGTGTATCAGCAGGATGTGTTATGTTTGTATAAGGTGATTTTTTTTTTTTATAGTGCACTCTTACATCTGCTGCCTTGCATGTCTAAAGCCTCTGAGTGAAAACGGCTCCATCGGCAGTCCTTTAGTTGCTTAACACCAAACCGCCTCATGGCTCAGTGCTACGTAATGACTGCATTATAATTGATCCCCACAAACTAAGTCCAGAATGATCGATGCCTCCCTTTGTGTTTTCCATTCGGACAGATTAGGTTGAGTGTAGCAGAGAGAGAAGACATTCTGCAGATTAGAAAACTACCACTGAAGAGATTGCAGTTTTGTTTGTGTGTATGGATGAGTGTTGCTCCATTTCCAAGATGCAGCCACGAGCAGAGCTTTAAACCAGCATGTTTTTTGGCCCCAGATTAGGCCTAGCAGCAGCGTTTGCCAACATCTGCCTGCCATTACCCCGTGACTTTGGAAGCCATGCAGGAATTAATCAGACTGTTGTGATAGTTGTCCCTCGGTCATTCTGCACCTCAGGCGCTTCACTGAGCAGCAGGATGGAGGTCAGCGTTCAAAGGGTCGTAATTCCTGGGAGTTCCTACTGTACGTGTTGCTCTCCTAAATACACCAGAAGCCACTGGGCTGTAGTTACTTTGTAGAACCAAAGCATCTTGTCTGATTAGCCTGGGAAGCTTTGTTTCCTTATTTGTCCTCATACATTATCTGCTCACTGTTTCACCAGATGCTGCCAGTTGTACAAATCAAATCCTCTTGTTATATTTTACAATCTCATCTATCACAATTTTTTTTTTGTTGGATCTCCCTTGTCCATTATGAATTAGTCAATGGTACATTAATCATCTTATATTTTATTATTTGACATTTTTAAGTAGTTTTCCAATAAAGAAGTCAAACATTCTCTGATATCAGATTCTCTCAGTTTTATAACTGTTCATTGCCATAAATAGTTGCTGTTGGTATAATCTACATAATTGTTCACATTTAAAAAAAAAATGTGAAGACGCTACCTCCCTTGATTTTCTTACATTTTATTGACTAAATAAATATATGTATTAAACACTAAAATAAATTCAAACATAACTAAATTATTAGCTGTGTATTAAAATTATAAAATTCAATGTTGATAGAAAACTCATTTGGTCAGACGATATTAAAAGGTTTGAAGTGTTTTTAGATGTGTTACGAAGAAACGAGTAGAAGCTGGATACCTATCATTATATCTAAGACTAAATCATATACCTGTGATTAGCCAGTACCTTTCCTCATTCATCTCCTTGAACTGTGGACACGCTGCTGTGGTCCGAGATGTTGTGTTTCAGTCAGGAACCTCTAAACATCAGAAAATATTTTTGTTGTGTTTTTAAGACGCTATCCATCAATGCTGTGATCTAACGAGGCTGAAATGAAAGCATTGCAAACACAGAGGTTTGAATTCGCCAGACCTTATCAAGAGGAGCTGTTATGTCAGCGAATGGTAAACATCACCACCTGCATTTCTTTTCACCTCAGGTTTCTGTGGCTGTCTCTCTGAGCTGCTTTATCAAGGCTCTTTCTCTCTCCCTCAGTGTTGTGTGTTCAGTAGTGCATTCGATAAGGGATCCTTGGCACTTGGCCTATCAGTTGACATCCTCAGGGCTTGTGCTGTGGTGAGATGTTACATGAGCTAAGAAAGCAGACTGTAATCTGTGGGGAAATTTAGACCTTGTGATGTAGGAATCTTTATACTGTTTAAGCATAAAGATACGCTCGCTGGTGATGTCCTCTCCCGCTGCGACGTGCACCTAACTTTTTTGACTTGGAGCACGCAATATGTCTAGTGCAACATGGGTTGAGCTTGAGGCAAGAGACTGCAAATAAGCCTGTCTCTACAGATATCGCTATGCTCCTTTGTTAATGTCATTAATGATATTACTTAATGTCATAAATGTGGCAGCATAGACATTCTTAGATGGCTCCTGGAGGCATACTGCTGGTAAAGATGTAGACAAAGACAAAGACGTGTACTCAAGTCCAAAGGGGTGCTCTTTCTTTCTGCCTTTTTCTGGAGGAGTGATTGTGGCGACACCTATTATTTAGAATACACCAATACACCAAATTGCTGCTCCTCAAGCACGAGTATGAAAGTGAGAGGCGTACTGTTTGCGTCAGAGCTGGCGTGTGCAGTGACCAACCTGTCAAGTATAACCACAGTTTTACTTCCCAGTGTTGCTTTGGTTTTTAGCCCACAGCGACTGCATCTTTCCAAACCATCTGCAAACTGGAAGAGCAGGTCCTGAGGTCTTGGATTTGTGTTGCATTCTTTGTATATGAACATACAGGGTGATAAGGAAGATGAATTTGAGCTGTTCTGAAACCCAACACAGAAGCTCTCCTCCAGTGGCCTCAGGAACATGCTATAAACTTCTGAATAAAGCTGACAAGGGTTAAGTCTCTGCATCAGAAGGTGCAGCTGATTTCCTTTTGAGTCATTTTCTCTTCTGGTCTAGTGAAGATAATTCAACATCACTCATGGAGAGTAATCAGGGATGCTCGGTAATTTGAGTCAGTGATGAGTTTGGGATGCAAGAGGAGGCCTTTAATGAGATTTGCTGATGGGTGCTGTTGGCATGGCTCACCATGCTGTTTTACATCTTGCATTTCTGTGACGACAAACTGGGCTGCTTTTATAAGGGCAGAAGAAATATATAAATAATTCAATTTCTTTTATTTTATAATTTTACATTTTTGGAAGGTGCATGAACATATAATATAAACTTCGACACAAATTAGTCATTTGTTTGATCTTAAATAATCCTTGTCACTCATTTGCCCTTTTTTCTGTTCTTTTCTCCCAGGTTCCTGTATCAAGACGTCAAAGGAGAAGATTGTCGAAAGCTCCATTTCTTAAGGAACATCTGAAAAGCAGTAATAAAATGAGCACTGACCCACACAACTATCTCACTCCCCTGTGAGCAGACATGCTCCCCCTGCATCACTCGTCGAGGGGCACCCCTCCCCAGTTGCGAGACTGTTTTCTGACATAGATTCGGAAGAATGGCTCAACCTTGTTACAGAAATGGCATTGGGTTGTGTGGGCAATAACACATTAGAATACAGGTGAGGCTGTTGCCAATACCCACAGGACCCTAAAGAGGTCTCAGATGACACAAGGACAGAAAAATACGCCCCAGCTTTGATTTAGTATCCACCTTACTGCCTTGCTGACAAGGTTGACTATGGCTGCTGTTGATCCCCATAGCAACGGTTCCATGGTGGGGCGAGGAGCAGACTGAGGGAGTCGACAATGCAGCGTAACGGTGGTGGGGTGGGTGCTGGAGGCCAGCCATGGGTGTTGCGCCGTGTGCGTCTAACGTGGCTCAGTTTCATGCTCTTCTTTATCCTGGTCTTTTTCCCACTCATTGCCCACTACTACCTCACAACCATTGACGAAGCTGGAGGTCCCGATAAGCGTATCTTTGGGCCTCGGCCCGGTGGTGAACTGTGCGAAGCCAAACATGTGCAGGATCTTTGCCGCATTCGTGAGTCGGTCAGCGAGGAACTGCTGCAGCTGGAGGCCAAGAGGCAGGAGCTCAACGGGGAGATTGCCCGACTCAACTTGCGCATTGAGGCCTGCAAACGCAGCATTGACAGTGCCAAGCAGGATCTGCTGCAATTGAAGAATGTTATCAGCCAGACAGAGCATTCCTATAAAGAGCTAATGGCCCAGAACCAGCCCAAGCTGTCACTGCCTGTAAGGTTGCTGCCAGACAAGGAAGACCCAGGCCTTCCACCACCTAAGTCTGCACGCTCCTGCCGTCTGCGGTCCTGCTTCGACTATGGGCGCTGCCCTCTTACGTCTGGGTTTCCTGTGTATGTCTATGACACAGGCTCTTACTCATGGGGGGACTATCTAGACCCACTGGTGAAGCAGGCTTTTGCAGCATCAGTTAAGAGCAACATTTATATAACTGATAACCCCAGCGTTGCCTGCCTGTATATGGTCCTGGTAGGAGAGATACAGGAGTCGTCCTCCCCACCACCATCTCCTTCAGAGCTGGAGAAGCAATTAAAAGCTCTTCCCTACTGGAGATCAGATGGACACAACCATGTACTAGTGCATCTCTCTAGAAAATCCATGACACAGAACTTCCTGTATAATGTGAGCGCAGGACGAGCAGCAGTTGCTCAGTCCACCTTTTTGGAGCAGCAGTACCGTGAGGGCTTTGACTTGGTTGTATCCCCACTGGTTCATGCTCTCTCAGAACCAAACTTTTTGGAAGTGCCCCCTCAAGTACCAGTCAAGAGGAAATATCTCTTCACCTTCCAGGGAGAGAGGGTGGAGTCACTGAGGAGCAGCTTACAGGAGGTGCCCCCTCAGTCTTTCGAGGAGGAAATGGAAGGAGACCCACCAGCCGACTACGATGATCGCATTATTGGCACCTTAAAGGCAGTGCAGGACAGCCACTTGGATCAGGTTCTGGTGGAGTTCACCTGCAAGGACCCTCGGCCAAGTTTACCAACGGAGTGGTCTCTTTGTGGACAGAGGGAGGATAGGCTGGAGGTGCTCAAGACTTCGACTTTTGCCCTGGTGATTGCTCCAGGAGATGGGCAGCTGGTGGCCTCAGCAGGCTGTGGAATGAGGCTCTTTGAAGCCTTAGAGGTAGGAGCCATCCCAGTCATGTTGGGGGACCACTCCAGACTACCTTACCACCAGTTTATCCGCTGGAGTGAGGCTGTCATTATAGTCCCCAAGCCTCGTGTCACAGAGCTGCACTTTCTGCTGCGCAGCCTATCAGACAATGATATGCTAGCTATGAGGCGGCAGGGTCGCTTCCTGTGGGAGACCTACTTCTCCACCTCAGAGAATGTTCTCAATACCATCCTGGCCAGCATCAGAACCAGCATCCAGGTTCCTGCTGCACCCATCAAAGAGGAGCCCGCTCATGAGATTCCTCACAAAGCTGGAAAGCTGGCAGGAACTGATGCCAACCTGGCTGACAATGGTGATCTAGATTTGGGTCCTGTCGAGACGGAGCCCCCCTACGCTTCTCCTCGCTTTCTGCGCAACTTCACATACACAGCTGCAGACACCTATAGATCGTGGAACCGAGCCCCGGGGCCTTTTCATCTGTTTCCTCACACACCTCTAGACCCCGTGCTGCCCTCTGAAGCCAAATTCCTAGGCTCCGGTACTGGTTTCAGGCCTATAGGTGGAGGTACGGGAGGATCGGGAAAGGAGTTTCAGGCAGCTTTAGGAGGGAACGTGCCACGAGAACAGTTCACAGTGGTAATGCTGACATATGAGAGGGAGGAAGTGCTGATGAACTCTCTGGAGAGGTTGAATGGACTGCCGTACCTCAACAAGGTAGTGGTGGTGTGGAATTCACCCAAGCCTCCTTCAGATGACCTGCTGTGGCCCGACATTGGCCTTCCCATTGTGGTAAGTGCTCCTGCTCCTCCTCATTCAACCAATGTGCACATATTCATCTGGGTAGTGTTGTATTATTCAGTAACATATACAGCTCCGTCTCATCCTGACTCTCTGAAATGCAAAACAGTAATCTGTAATATGTGTCAGAGCTGGTGCAACGTTTGCTTAAGTACTTTATAATGAAGTGTGCATCTTTGAAACTCTGCTGGAGTCCTGACAAATTACCAGTAGCTTTACAACAGGGGTGAGAAGAAGTCTGATTTTCATGAATAATATAATTTGTGCTTTTGAATTAAGCTTGAAAAGTAAAATATTAATCCATTCCATTTCCACGGTATTGGTTTGTGACAGAGATTCTGTGGATGAGTGGAAAGAAACTAAAGAGCTGGACTCTGTGTGGTAGAGTTGTTTGTGCAACATGACACTGAAATTTGACAAGCTTGTGTGCAAGTTGATTGTCAGAAAATCAACTGGTGTAAATATTGATTCCAGTCTTAAATTTGAGGATGTGCTGCTTTTCTTTAGTGTGAGTCCTTGTGAACTAAGCATCTATTTATGTATTTTGGACAATTTGTTGTCTAATAATCAAAATTGTTATTCTACAAATTAATATATTGTATTGATTGTTGAAGCCCTTCTTCAATAATTTATACCCTAAGATCTTAGTAGAGCACTTAACTGCATGTATGAAAAATAGTCTTATGCACCTTGCTGAATTTTAGTTTAGTCATATCAGTCATTTGCTGCCAGATACCATTTACCCGTCATTGAATTTGAACATATTTACTTTTTATAGACATGCGTAGAAAATGCTCAGTGTGCAGCATCACTCAAAATGTTCTTAACAGTACTAACCGCAAGTAGCTGCTTCTAAAGTGTCTCATGCCTGCAGGTCATCCGCACAGAGAAAAACAGCCTCAACAACCGCTTCCTTCCCTGGGATGCTGTGGAAACGGAGGCCATTCTCTCGATTGATGATGACGCTCACCTCCGTCACGATGAGATCATGTTCGGGTTCAGGTCAGTGATGGTGATAGAGGACGCATGAAGCTCTAAGAATCTTATTTTGGTAAATTGGTGTCAAAGGGAAAATAAATGTCTAATAACTGATCATTTAAAACTTATTGAGTAAGTATAATTTTTTATTTGATTTATTTTGCAAGCTCTGTATTAGCAAGACAGTTAATGACTGAAAAATAGATAGACAGATTCATTGCTGTGAGGTGAACACAAAAATACAGGAAAATAAAAGGAAAAGCTTTGTTATTTGTCAGAAACACAAAATGTAGAAGCATCACATTCCTGAAATCACTGAGAGAAACTGAACCAACCACCCGAGACTGCAGTAGAGGAAATGAAAGGGAAATATGTGATCAGCATCTTGTATCGATCCCTTTTTCAATGTTTGGCATAGATGAATATGAATAAATTTGAAGATCCCGATGAACCAATTAAGAGAAGTACGCTGTTATGTTAATTTCACTGCACCCACCCCTCCCATTACTCAGACTCGTCTACACCTTGGTGCTGTAGCAGCTTGTCCGGACAGGCAAAAACTGCCACTATGACTGAGTGTACGAGGGTCATTTGTCAAACGCCCACCTCCCAGAAGTACCCAGGAATGTATCTACACCTCTAACTTCCCCCGAAGAAGAAAAATCACACAGCATCCTACTGCTCTTAAAGGGTTTCCTTCCAGCTCATCTCAGATTTCTTGCATCATGTGTGCCTGTGTATGTTTGAAATTAATCTACTAAACAGAAACTTAGCAACTGGGCCACAGTGTATGAGCCAAGAACAATGTTTTAGTTTTAAATATAGTCCGATTATAAAACTGTCATATGCTGAAAGACGGCATCACAGTTGTTACTTAATTGGTCCCAAGAGAAAAATAGATGCCACTTGTATTACTTAGATGATGAGCAGAAACAGATGGATGCAAAAGAGTGGCATACGCTCAGACATTCTAAAACCTTCCCAAAGCAACAGATAACCACAATAAAACAAGTGAAAGATTGTCTGATTTGTTCTTGGGGGAATGTTGCTGATGTTCTGTGCTCGGCGTTGTCTCGCAGAGTGTGGCGTGAGGCTAGAGATCGAATTGTGGGCTTCCCCGGGCGGTATCATGCGTGGGATGTCAACCATCAGTCGTGGCTTTACAACTCCAACTACTCCTGTGAGCTTTCCATGGTCCTGACAGGAGCTGCCTTCTTCCATAAGGTCAGAACCTGCACCTCACTCGCTCCATGAAGGAAAAAAACCAACTGTCATGTTCAGCAGATTTATTTTGTAGCTTTATCTCAGCCGTGTCATTCACATGTCTCCCTGTATCTTTGTGTACTTGCAGTACTACGCCTATCTGTACTCCTACGTGATGCCCCAGGCCATCAGGGACATGGTGGACGAGTACATAAACTGCGAGGACATCGCCATGAACTTCCTGGTGTCGCACATCACCCGCAAACCACCCATCAAGGTCAGTGACAGAGCAGGCATTTCATCTGCGCTCTGCTCCACATCGACAAACTTTGTGTCTCCCCCTGGCCCTGTGTATTTATATTTTTCCTCATTTAGCCTTGCCATTACTCAAACTGACACATCCAATATTCCACACAAATGGTAAATCAAAAACGCAAGATCGAATTTGTGCGTTCTGCATGGTTTTCCTCCTGGATTTTTATTGGAAGGACATTTATTACCGGAGAGTCTGTATGGCTAGACAAATAATTATAACAATCAAGCCAGGGATGCTGCTGGAACTGAAATGTTGTTGCGGCCCTCGGTTTAAGTTCTTTTTGATTTAGAGGATGTTAATAGTCAGGGGTGTTTCAGGGGGAATTAAGGGCAGCTTTGATGGAGTGTGTTGCATGACAGCATTTCACTGCTAGGAATAAGCTTTGTGAATAATGAATTTGGGACAAGTTTGGATGTGTAGTCCTAAATAGTGAGACTACATTTCTATTTTAGTCCAAAATCAGACAGATAAAGCGAAAAATAAATTACTTTTGCTGCAAAGTTTTATGCTTCACTGGTGAAAACATTCAAACTCAGTTTTCCTGCAGTTTAAACATTTTGTGCAGTTATTTTCTAAATTGACCTTTTTTGCTAAACCCTGCACCCAATGTTAGCGCTCAGACTTCAGGACTGACAGATGTGTTTGGAGAATGAAACACTATCTTGGGTGATGTTGACTGGGGTTGCCGGAGTCCAATAAAGCTAATAGATGCTAACAGTAGCCTAAACTCTCATAGCACCGTCCATGAAACTGTTACAATGTAGAGCATTGCTCTAACTACAATCTCATGCAAACTTTCAACGTGTGGAGAAATTGAAGTTTTACAGGCCAGTTTGGTTTGGATTGAACGCTGTTCAAAAGAGGGGTGTAGCAAAGAGCAGTGTGATTCTGTGAGGTACCACCTGCACAAATGTCCTAAAATACTAAACATTTACTCAATCTTTTTCTTTCTTAGGTGACATCCCGTTGGACTTTCCGCTGTCCCGGCTGCCCTCAGGCCCTCTCTCACGATGACTCCCATTTCCACGAGCGCCACAAGTGCATCAACTTTTTTGTCAAAGTGTACGGATACATGCCGCTGCTGTACACACAGTTCCGCGTGGACTCTGTGCTGTTTAAGACTCGTTTACCCCACGACAAGACCAAGTGCTTCAAGTTCATCTAGCATTGGGCTGAGTGGCCCAGCGAAGAGCCCAGAAGCCGAGGATTGAAGAAGTGGAAGTGTTTAAAGAGAGCAGCAGCTCCCACAGCGAGCAGCGATGTTGGAGGGATGGATGGACGGACTGCCAGATGCATAGAGGGAAGGTTTAGGGTTAGGATTTTGCCCGGGGGAGATAGACATATTAACCTTGTGGTCTAACCCACTAGACTACTGAAAATTTGAAAAGTGGAAGCTGAAAGGGACCACTGCCAACAAAATAAGTCTCTTCAGTGGAAGTCACTCCTCCTGTTTCATGTTCTTCAATCATGCTCAATCATTAACCACTACAGATGTCATTGGCACCTCCAGACGGCCTGCTGAGGAAAGAGGGCAGTTGTACACCGTGTACAGAAACTCTCCCAGGAGACTCTAGCTGATAATGGAGCGATGAGTTAGTGCATCACTGACAGACTGATGCCAGGCTGCATTCAGCTCAGCAGCCTGTTGACGCTGTTGAGCAAACGTGACACCGGCACATGGCTGCCGCTGTCTGTTTTCCGTGTTACAGTTACAAACTGTACTTCCTGTACTTGTACGAGAGGAGCACTGATGGTCAGAAGTATTTTATTGATCAAACACTTTTTTTTTTGTTTTTAAATAATGTTTAAATGTGTAAATCTCTATTTGGAGCGAATAGTTTCCAGAACCTCTGCCTGTGGGGGATCAGACACAGATTCAGTCTGAGGAAGAAAACAGGACCGTGACCGAGGATTTAAAATAACACGTAGGCCCGATCATGTTTAGCAGTGTTTCAGCAGTCACCATAATGCCTCAAATTTGTCATGAAAACCAGCCGCCACCTTGTCATTTTGTTATGCTTACAGGTGCTCCGCTCGTCTCTGATGTTTAAAAATTGACCTGTTTTTTATGCTATAGGGTGTTTACTAATGTTTGTTCAATTTGGTCCGAGTCACGTTTCAATGTAATAATATCGACCAATCATCATTTTCCGCTTTCCTTACCGAGAATCACAGCTGCCAAATTGAGCAAAATAGGTTTTAAACACGCAGACAGACTCATGCAGTTCAGTGTCCTGTTAGATCATGGTAACAATGTTAGATTTAGAGGTACAATATGCTTATTTGCATTCTGGCAGAGATCTGGATGAGAACATTAAAAGTTGCTGTTCTCAAATCTGTTAAATATTAAACTGCAGCCAATGGCTGGTTAGCTTAGCACAAAGACTCACCTCACAGTGTCGCTAAAGCCAAATGAAAGTGAAGATGATTCAACAATGAGGTATAAAGTGTGAATGTTTGTTCCTATGAGTTGCTGGTAGGTGAGAGTCGGGCTGTTTCCCTCAGTTTCCAGTCTTGATGCAAACTGGAGATCTTCCGATACCGTTTGTCTCTTAGCTGTGTAACTGCTAACCCAGTATGGGAGTGATGATTGCTCTCGTTGTCTGACCTGACTCAGGTTAAAACTGTTTGAAGAACACAGAACTACACGTGACCTGTTTACTTCCCATACGTTCCTGCATGAAATTGTGCCAAATTGCATTTTGGCGAGCTTTGGCTAAAGCTAGTCTTCTGGAAATCACTTCTTTGCTGATTTAAAAACAGTACTTGCCAGTTTTGGAGCAGCAAAGATGAAGAAATGTCCTGAAAAAGAATATTGCTATTTTATCTGGTTGAAACTACTATACTTTAAGGTTGTGGTATCGGATCAGGTAGATTTGCGTTCTTGTCCGCCGTAGCATTTTCGGCTGCATCGGAGGCCTTGCAGATGCTGGTATTGGAACATCTCTTATGCTAAGCTAAGCGGCTGGAGGCAGTAGATTTATATTTTCCGAACATAAGAGCAATATCAATCTCCCCCAGAAAGCAAATAAAATGTATTCCCAAATGTTTCAACTATACTTTTTAACGTACAGCAGGTGCTGGGTTTGCATCAGAATCACCAGATCCATGTCGCCTCTCTGTCCCAGCTCAGACAAAAACGTCACTTTAGTGTCGCCATGTTGGTTTCACTTCTTTTTTTTTTTTTCCCCTTACCATTGCTTGATGAATGTTTCCTTTGCCAAATAGGTACGATACCTGCTGCTTTCCAGCTCGATTTGCAGGATGCACAGTGCTCGGGATGCAGTCTGGTACACCTACATCCACTCTGCATGGTACTTTACCAGGAGTCAACCCATAATGTATTATAAATCCAAAGTTGTTTATTTGATCATGTCAGACTAGTTTCTTTTAATCTGAACAAAACACCCACCTGCAAAGATGAGTTTAAAAGAAAGATATTTAGATTAGAGTCTCTTTCCCAACAAATTCTGTTCTGTTCTTTGAAAACTCTCATTAAGTCCATGGTTCCTGTATATTTATTGAATATATAATGAAAAAAAGATTTTTTTAAAGCTGATAAAGACACATGCAATAAAATGAAAAGACATTGTAGTTTATTATTCCTAATTTCAAAGAGGTCCCAGCCTGAACTTGCCATCAGCTTCTTTGTTTCCAAGGAAAACGAGCTTGTGCCATTGACCTGAGAGCAGCACTTCGGCAGCAGCCGTGTTTTTCTGTGACCTGGTTTTTCCAGAGGTCGGACTATAAGTAGAATGTCATGAACTGAGTTTTTCAAAGAGCCAGTGGACGCTGGTTGAAGTGTCTTTGAAGCCAAATCCCGACCTGCTCCGGTGACTGCTGCTGCTGTGCTCTGACCCCCCCCAGGTTAAATACAAACACATTCACATGGAAATATTTTTCTGCGAGGGATAAAATCAAGAGCCTGTTTCCTAATTGCTGTGGTTTAAGTTGGCAACACGGCAACAAAAACAAATCCAAATTTACACTTTATGTTGCTGCACCAGATTTGGAAAAACCAACTTATAAACTCAGTCACATCCCAACAGATTTTTAATTGGAGCTCGAGGGGCCTCATAATTTCTTGGCCGGCTCTAAACCTGTCCTCGGGGCACAGTTTGGGTCAGCTGGTATTGTGGAAGGTGAAAAAAAAAAAAGCCTTGTCCATTCCTCTCCCACCACCCTTCTCCCCTCCAGGATCTTTGGCACAGCTGGTTTTCCGCGGCCTGAAGCAGGAAGGTGGAACTATCATGTGCTCCACCACTGTGGGCGGGGACTCCGGCGACCTGCAACGCTGCTCACGCCGAACCAGATTGGCTACGGCGTCACGACAAACCATTGAAGGCCAGATGAATGGAAATAAAAACACTCAACATTGTTAAAAACTTTATCCGACTTTTGTCCTAATTCTTCTGTCATGAGCACATTCCTGGATTTGTATCAAAATGGGAACATTGAGGGAACTTTATTTAAACTTCTAAGAACAAAGTGCTCTAAGTGGTTGGATGGGCGTGAGAAACTTTATTTGTGTGTGTTAAATCAACTTCAAAGAGCAACACTTGAGTCGTCACATGATTCATCACACTTTCACTCAGAGGGAATCAGCCAATCGGAAATAAAAACCCTTCGTTTATTCTGTGTTATGATTTTCTGTTAGAACACACAGTACATCATTTCTTTTAAACGCCCATTTTATTTTGCTTACAATCTTTAAGTCTCCAGGAATAGTTCATAAGAAAAATTGATATGATGTATAAATATATAAATAGGGATGAAAAATAGGAAATTAGCTGAAATGGAAGTAATGTTGGAAGACGATAGAAGCATAGAATTGAGACTTTAGTACCATGCTGATAAGTGCGGGCGGCAAACGTGCGTAGATGGTAATTACAAATGAAATGGAAGACAGATATACTCTTCTCGTTCCCATGTTCAGACGTGTTCGTTTGTGAGGGTCAGAGGTTCTGTTGGTGGATTTTACTGTCTCTACACAAAACTACTGCATTTCATATGTATCATTTAGTACATGAATAGTACTGAGAACCATTAGTACTCACCCACATACTCAGAACATATATAAAACTACCTTCCTGTTTGAATGGCATGCTGCTGTGGAGCTGAATGACACACGCTGCACCTTTTATTCAGTTAGATTCAACCTTGGAATGCACGTAATATTTTAAAGGATATGAATCCATTGAATACGCAGCTCAAAGTGAGGTTCTGTCCACAGTTAATAAAATCTGCCTGAGCTGCACCTCTGAAGCTCAATTATTAACACATTACATCTCGTTTATCTCAAGGAGGAAAAAAAGGGGGACGTAAAAATGTGTGGTTTTTACGAGGGGGATTGTGTTTCAGCCGTAAATCTCTGGAGACTCGAAGTGACAACAAGACTGGTAGCTTCTGCTTCCCCTCTTCATCCTTAATCTCATAATTTAATGCTTTTAAAGGCTGGTTTATGCACAAACTGTGCTGAGAGCAAAACTTACCCGAGCCCAGCTTGTGTTAGAAGCCCCCCCCAGTGGCTGTTATTCCCTGTTGAGCCAATTGTTTATGTAGCAGGAATGATAGAAATCTGGTTTTCATCAAATCTTTTGAAATACTCTCATGATGAATCAGAGGACTGAAGGGACGAGCTGCAGCATCTAACCCAGATGATGGGTTGAAATGTGACATCACAGGGGTAAAGAGAAAGAAGAGTGCATCCTACTCTCCTCAGCTTCAGGAGGGGAGAGGGTTCGATTTTTACTGGTGGGTGCGGTGGTGCCGTCTTTTTAAGGGGAGGGGGTTCATAGCTTTTATTTGATGCCGACACTTTGTTCCAGGTGAAAGCGCAGATTTCTCAGCGTTCATTCTCGTTTGATTAAGTCTTATAATGATGAGCAAATACGATTTACCCTTTCCTGTATTTGAATTCTTCCCACTTCATAGGGAGCGCGGCTGAGGCTGTCACCAGCACAGCCTCAGAGAAACTGTCGGCTTTATTGGACTGCGCAGGCTTTTGCATAGTCCTCCTCAGCGGGAAGCACCGTGTTTCTACATGAATGAACATGGCTGAGTTGTCAGAAGGCTGCATGGTAAAACAGGCTCAATCTGTATTTCACAGGAAAGCAAGCTGCTCTTTGATACCGGTGGCATGCAGGGCTGCTGCGTCCAATCCCGTCGGACTCAGCGAGCACTAGACCGGACTTTCGGTCGTCTCGTTTAAAGTGGCGTCAGATGCATAGTGTACAGAGTTATGCAAGACCACGCTGAAAAAAAATCTGTCTTTGACTAACACATACCCCCAACAACTGGTAAACGCTTTGACTGATCATCCAAAAACATAAAAACGGGGGAACACAGATGAATGGATCTTGCATAATGTCATGTGCATGTAAACAAACGGTTGAAAGCATAGCTTGGGGGCATAGCTGCAGCATGTAGTAGGCCTTTAGTAACAGTCTTTGCATTCTCTTTTTGTCAATGGCTGCGACTGCTAGAGAAATGTCTGGTATGCTGGTGGCAGCTGAAGTCCAGAGATGTCGTTTGTTCGTCCTGGATCGAGCTCTTTGGTCCAAGTTTCACAGACGGAAAAATGTTTTTGTAACAACATTGTCCTGTAAACAGTGAGTACATGCAGATTCAGCTCGAGTCAGTGGAAAACGTCTGCTCTTGGTTAGTTCGGTTGTTATGAAGTCATTTCTAGTTTGTTCCTGTCAATAAAGAGGCCGGAGCTGGAGTTGACACCATCACTTGTACAGTCAGGGAGTCTGCCTTAGAGGGAAGTGGCAGATTAAAGGGTACTCGTCTCTGGCAGTGAAGATAGGAGCCCAAGCCTGTCCTCACACACACACACACACACACACACACACACACACACGTCTCACACGGTGCCTGCAGCTCTGCCTCCAGCTCTGAGCGTCCAGGGAATGCTGTCAAAATGAGTCTTTGTAAATCTCCGTCCTATGTGTCACTGAGCGTGTGCCAGTGGCAGACCTGCTGGCCCTCTGCGTCCTTCATCTCCGTCCAGTGGGCCTGCTGCTCCTCGCCGGTGCTGTTGAGGCCCAGGGACACGCAGCCCAGCCTCTCCCTGGGCTTCATGCTGCTGCGGCGGCAGAACACCGACACCACCAGGGACACCTCGGACAGCTGGAAGAGCGCCACCTGGAACATGAACGTCTCCTTGTAGGTGGGGTTGGGCTGCCCGCGGCACACGGCCGTCTTGCACTTGGACATCTCCTTCCCCTTGGAGTCCAGCATGGTCAGCTTCACATAGGTGTCTGAGGGGGGAGGAGGAAGTGGGAGAGCAGTGAGAGAGTGCCATCAAGTGGTGGGACATGGGTACTGGGAAGAATGAGAAAAACTGAGGTTTGATTTCCTGGTGATTTTCTCAGAGAGGCCATGTTACAAAACCCCCTTTACCACAGACCTTTGTAGAACTTGTACATTAAAAAAAGAGAAAATAAAACTCAATTCATGTCTCCTTTAATGTAATGTTATTATAGTCACATACTTTGAGGATTTAGTACCAGGAGTGTTTTAGTCCTTATTTCCGCAGGAATAGAACCAGAATTATGAGGCGTTTTAGGCTAAAATATATGTATAAGTTTAATATCCAAAGATTAAAAGAAACTCATGGTTGACTTACCTCTCATGATATAAAGCTGTCCCCCTACAAAGTGTTTTATACAACAAAACAGACCATCTGTGACACACACACACAAGGTTGGGAAGAAGAAAGAGAGGTAGCAGTCAGATCCAGCAGATGGAAGATTGCGATACACACCAGAAAGTTGTTCTTTCATAGGAAACTCTGACCAGCAGCGAGTGCTTTGGCATTGTGGTTATTTCAAGTTGTCAGGAAACATTTCAATTTGATTGGTTTGTGTTACTTTGCCAGAACAATTGCCTGATCATCAAACCCCATGAAAGTCCGAGACATTACAGAGGAGAAATTTCACTGAACAGGAAATGCACTCATTCGCACAGCACCTTGGTTGAGCTTGTGCACTTACTGACGGGCTTATCGGACGCTGTGGTTTTGAAGTGGCTTCCCTGGATGACCTCAGCAGATAACCGTCCCGTGGCAGAGTTGTAGATGAGACCCAGGAGGATCTCGGGCAGGGACGAGTCTTCGGTGGAGCGGTAGGTCAGAGCTCCTGCGCTGCGGGACACGCTCACCACAGAGCCGCAACCCTGCGAGACAAAGCACAATGTCCCCCATGTTTCAGAGTCATAAGTGAAGAATTAGAATTAAATCAGGTCACCGTCTTCCATAAAGAACTTTTCAGCCACGTGAGCTGAACAGCTTTTGGACTAGAGTTGAGTTTGTCTGATCAAAACTGCGCATTGTGCAAAATATGAATTCACAAAGTGTTCTCACAGCGAGTTCAGAGCCGGGCTCCAGCGTGACAGGAAGAGCGATCTTGCCCTGAAGGTTGAGCTTAGTCAGGTAGAACACCTTCTCTCCCAGGACCTTCTCTTTTTTCATCCGCCTGATGCTGTACAGGCGGAAGCGGACGGCGTAGTCCCCCAGCGCCTCCTGTTCCACTCTGGAGAACTTGAATGTTTCTGTGAAGATGGGACACGGGCCCTTCTGTACGCCGGTCTTGGCCCGTTGTTTCTTGGTTGGCAGCAGCACCAGGTGGACCTGCCACGAGATGTTCCCCGTCTGTTTGAGGGCAGGGATGTCTGTTGCCGCGGTGACCGTGACGGCCAACCACTGCTCACTGGAGTCGTACTCGAAGGCGACGTCCAGCGTTCCGTATTTGGCAAGGGGCTCTGGCTCGTAGGCCGTGGGGAGCTGGAGACCACAGCCATCCTGGAGGGAGGAAAGGACGAGTTTAAAAGAGGCGTGAATGTGAATTGATCTGTTTGTGCTTGACAAAAACAAAAACATTCTGCAACTCTGATCTTACCTCAGGTCCCAGAACAGCTGTGCTGTCACTGGGTATA